TCACTGCTTTGCTTTTAAAAACTATTTCTGGATTCATTCAGTATTTCATAGCAGTGATTCTCAAACCTTGACTGCACTTTGGAATCACCTGGGAGCTTTAAAAAATACTGATGCCTGGGTCCCACACCTAGGGAGTCTGATGTCATTGGTTTGGGGTGTGGTCAAGGCATCAGGATTTTTTTAAAAAAAGCTCCCCAGGTGATTGCAACATGCAGCCAGGTGTTGGGAACTGCTTTTTCATGAGTCTTACCAGCACCTGAGGACAAAGGTGGGCAAGTCATTGTGATCCCCTTTTTATACATAAAGAAGCTCACACTCTGAGACAGTATAGTGTGTTATAGGAAACACAGGGAAATCATCTAGGGACATTTGTTGCAGACTGGGTTACCAGATACTTGTAATAAATCTGCAAGAATGGGGTAAAACCTGTTTTTCTTTTCTGGTTTCGAGTGTTTTCTTGGCTTGTGTTCCCTGACATGAGAAGGGAAAGGAAACAACTTTGAAATGGTAATTTGGAACCAAATGTTTATAACTGAAATTCCCTGCTGAGTCCCTTTAGTATCTGGAAGGGAATCATTAACTAGAGCAATCTGTACCGGCTCCATATTTCCTCATTCTGCCACATATCCTGGTGAGTTCCTACCAAACCACAACCCCTAAAGAAGCATCAAAAGTAAAAATCTAACTAATTGTGAATGTTGACTTTGTACGAAAATGTTTCCCCAACTCTTTAATTTGAAATTATTTGGACTGAGAATTTTTTCAAAATAAATTTACTTTGGGGGATGGGAAGTTTCTCTACACCACCATGGTGCGCATCGGAAACTCAGGATTGTCGTTGGCTCACATGGGACATGCCATGTGTCAGTAACCACCCAGATCCTGAGGCAGGAGCCACATCTTTGAGGCTACCACCTCCCCAGATTCCAGACAGAAAGGGAGCACACATCCTATTTTCTTATAGATCCCCAAACCTGTCCAGGGGATTATAGGATCACTCCTAAGGCTTGGCACAAGGGGGAGGTAAGAAAGCAGGAGCTCCACATTGACTTTCAACTTCCTGGTTTCCTTTCTGTGTCACTTCCTCCCACCTTGAAGAGCTTTTAGCTTCATTCTGACTCTACATATTCTTCAAGTCTATTGTTTTTGGTATCAAGTTTAAGTTATAAAATACCCAGGTTCTAACAACTTAAAAGCCTTTTCCTCAAAGCTCTTGTCCATGGGTATCAAAAGTCATTTTGAGGTTCATTGGTAGTCAATAGCTTGTTTCTTTTTCCTATTCTACCACCAGACCGGTGGGACAAAGGATTGGGGTAAAATAAATGGCTGGAGGAAAACACTGAAATTAATATCAGAATCTTACTCTGTTACGTATGTGTTCAGTGTGATCTCAGAATAACTTTCTGCATACCATGTAGATGGGCAAGCACATAGGGCATTTTGGACAATTCCTTGAAAATAATGGCAATGGTTGCTAGGTAGCTAGCAAAGACTACCACTTCACAGGGCCTGTGGGCAGGACACTTGCCCTGGAAAGGTGTCTGTGGTGAGGCAAGCTTTCTGTGGCTTGGTACATTTCACTCATTTCCTTAACAAAGGTTGTCTCTCCTCAGTATGGAGGTGGTTCAGTCATAGCACAACCTTCAGGTAGGGTCAAGATACACAGCATCGTGTTTATTGCTCTCTTGTCTCTTCTACTCAGAGCCCAGCCCAATTGGAGTGTTTCGTGACAAACACGTGTGTGTGCAGATCAGCAAAGGCAATTGGTTAAACTAATCGAACTGTTTATAGCAAACCACCAGCCTTTCTTTGCATTTTTGAGACACCATTTAATTCAGTGTGAAAAAAAGTTTATTTAACAAACCAAATGCATCCAAGATATCAACCCACACTGAGGCCTTAGGTACTACAAATACAGGATAGGGAATCTGGGTTTGTTTTGGTAAAGGCCTGATGGGCAGGGAGCCCCTCTCTACCATCCCCACTCTTTTTCCCACTGGAAGTGCCACTTCCTCATTCCCAGCTCCTCAGTGTTTCAGTGGCACCCAGGCCGTCTCCTTGGAGGTAGTGCATGTGCTGGTGCACGCTCCCATGGGCTAGGAGCAGGGATGGAGGGATGTCTGAGAAAGCAGACAAATGAGAGAATGAGAACAAGCCCTCCCCTCACATCTCATCTCCTTTCTTCTTTCTGTGCTGTTTGTTCAGGGGGAAGAAAAGAGCACACTCTTCCTCAGTGTTCCCCTCCATACTCTTTATGAGCACTGTTTTCACTTTTTATTTGCTGACCAATAAACCCAAGGGTAGGTCTGGTCTGTTCGCAGAGATAAAGAATTACACGCGTAACTAGTCTTTATCCAGCCCAACAAGCGCGGTTTCTCTTTGTTTTTCACAGTGTTTCTGAGAGATAAGAGGAAACCACCCAGAGATGATGCATGACCAGGGAGTTTTTGAGATATTTTATAAATTCATGCTCTATTCTAAGCTGTGGATTAGGGATGGAAAGAAAGGGTGTAGGCATCGCATAACCTAGTTGATTTTTTTTTTCTGGGTTTAAAAAAGCAGGTGAATACATTCACACACACACACACACACACATACACGGGGGTGGGGAGACATGAATAAATGTTCCACTGAGGAAAGAATAAGCCTATTTCAATCATTGGCACAGAAGTCAAATAGGGAGTATTTCAGTAATTAAAATGAGCACATAATCCCAAAATTTAATGACCTTTTCCTTTCACAAAAACAGTTTCTGTCATATGGATTCAAGACCAAAATTGGCAGACAGTTGAAGAGCCAGATAGAATCCTAGGAAAATAAGGGAGGGGACCAGGTTAGAGTTGTGTTTGTGCCCTTGAAGGCTCTTACCAGGTTTCTGTAAGTGAGCCAGAATGGAGGGGTTGATATAAGATGGATGATGTAGGATATTATGCAGAGCAAGACCAAGTGTAAGGTCAGCTGGTACTCACAAAGGCACAAAGAGTAAGATGTTTTTAATAGCAAATGAAAAATTTGGTAGCAATTCAAATAGAAGCAGAGTAGGGAATCACTTCAGAGAGACTGCTATTCAGCTAAGGAATGATCCAAGTCTGAGCCCAGGAATGATGGTGAGGATGCCTAGGAAAAGGAAGATCAGGTCTTTGGGAATTTCAGGCAGAAAGGAGGAGTAAACCCAAGAAACAAAGATAAGGAGCTAACAGAAGGAAAATTTAAGTTGGAAGCCAGGACATAATTGTTTCTGAGCAACTAGATGGAAAATGAGGAGACAGTAAAGTCTTAGTGAAGTTGAGCAGGGCTTCATTGTCTGTGCTACATACTGTGCATTGCTATTTCTTTCCACCCCTAGGCTCCCAAATTTTAATTACTTCTGTCTATGTCTCATCTCCAGCCCTGAAAAGTAAGTTCCCTCTAGGGAAAAAATATGTTCCAGGCTTTCTAGAACTGCATCCACAATACCTAGCAGAGGGCCTCACTGGAATAGTAGCTCAGTAAATGTGAATTGGCAGAATGGATTAATGAACAGCTTCCTCTTTATGTAATTATTTTCCAAATGAAATGCTAGATTTGTGGAGGCCAAAACCTGGATCATAGTTTACTCTTCTATTGTTGGGTAAATCAGAGGAGCAAGTTATGACATAAGAAATCATTTGTACTTTATTTTGAAAGGAATTAATGAATCTAATAGTAGGTAACAGGTAGGAAAATTTGATGTGTGAGTCTTAGAAGAGGGGCCAAAATCCAGTGGACTTTTCCTTGATCCCAGATTCATTCAGTCAGACCAAGGCTAAACTTCAGGGGATTTGGGGAAGGGGTGGGGGCAGGGTTACTCTGACTGGTACTTTTTTTGTGCGGGCCTGTCGTTTTGGAAGGTTGGCTTCATGAGGGGAGAGTTCCTGTGTGTCTTTTCACTGTTCTATCTCCAGCATCTGGAACAGATTTTCCTGAAATATAGTAAGGGCTTAGGAAATAATTGTGGAAGGAAGGTAAAGAGGGAGGGAAAAATGGAAGGAGGAAGAAATGGAGGGAGGGAGGGACTTAAGGAAAGGGGCGGGAGGGCTCTGCTTTTCATGCCAGTAAACTGGCCCATATTTACGCATCAGCTACCAAAGGGCCCCTCAGGTACTGTATTAGGAACCAAGGATACCAAAATGATGAGGTGCCACAGTCTCTTCCCCCAAATAATTGATGGTCTAGTAGAGAGAGAGACAGACAGACACAACATACCAGGTGGTAAGTGCTACACCAGAGTCAAGGTGATATGATGTGGGTGCCAAAGGGAGAATCTCATCTGCCCTGAGGAGTGGGAAGCAGAAGAACACTGCAACCCCAAGCACAACATTAATCAACTCCATGGTGCTTTGCTGGCTTGAGAACACTTGAATCTCTAGAGTCCTAACACTGACTGTGGTAAGCTGAATAAAAGATGGAAGACTGCAAGTCGTTGCATTTAGCCATTCTCTCTTCAGAGTCATTTTGATATTAAAAGTTATTTTGCCTTGGTACTTATTGAACATTGGTTTCATTCAGAGAATGCAAAAGGCTACAGGGAGTCTGTCATGCAGCAGCTTGTCAGAGAATTGTGGCTTTATAAGCACAGTCTAAATGACACAAATTGAAGGCCCATTGTCTGGGCCAGATCTGCACCGCATGCCAGGAGTAAGAGCTTTGTTAAAGCATTATCAGTTAGGACCAGTCTTTGGTCTTTTCTGAGCACTTTCTTGTTCCTGTGACAAGGATTAATGATATAACTAACTGTAGGGTGGTCTTTGCATTTTATAAAAGCCTATAACAGTAAAGACCCAAGTTTTCTGAAGAGGGCAGATAAACTTGACAACAAGGAGAGAATCAGTGGTTTAAAAAAATTATGGTGACTAAACTTATTTATACATAGGAAAAGGATTGGGAGGATATGTTAATGGCCTTTTTAAGCAAGAAAATCCAGTGTCTGAGGCAAAAAGAAGATCCTGATTTGACTTCTACTTCTTGAATTTCTTATTCAGGTTCTGACCCCAGCACAGATCAAATCAATTTGCCAGGCAATTTTGGACTCTGGGAAGCAATATGCCATGAAAAAGAGGAAACCATTTCCCCTGATGTATTCCTACTATGGAACCGAATACTTAGGTGAGTGAAGGTGTTGGCAAACTCCTGTAGGATGAAAGGAGTCTCTGATACCAGTGTTGACTAAAGATTGAAAGATTTGTTTTTGACGTAGGTCATCACTATGTATTTAAGTAGAAACACTTTAAAATTCCATTTAAAAATATTGATAGATATTACAAATCAGATTACAAAAAGATTTAATATTTGTTTTCATAGTCTATCTGACAGAAATGTAGCTATTTTAACAACTACTTCCACTACAGGCTAAAATCCAGATTTGAGATTGTGAGTTCATTGGCCTAATTTTGCTGAGAAAGTTTGTGTATAGTTTATACACTCATTGTAAATACTTCCTGTGCACAGGGAAACAGGATTCCACCACTAACGTTGTCAAGTTTTTAATATTAGTGGATTAATAACAGACAACCAAATCACAGTGGCTACTTTTGAGATCTGAGGCTGTAAACGAAAAATTAGTTACTCCCCTTTTGAATCCTTCAGCAGCTCCTCCCCATCACTTCTGAGCATGACTTGCAAGGCCCTTTATAGATCAACTGCCTCCTTCTCCAAACTCAAGCTTTATCTCTCCCTTCCTTGGTTCTGCCCAGCATAGTCTCTTGTAAGCAAACTGTTCTCATATCTGTGTAACCTTTGTGCTTGCTCCTTGTGGCTAGAATGCTTGGCTTCCTGTACCCACTTCATCTGTCTGTAATACTTACAACAGGACTTCAGGCATTATTAAATCTATTGAGAAACTTTGTGCTTTTGCAAAAAAGCATTTATTGAACTTTCTCTGGAGAAACATTCACACATTTTGAGTTTTACCCCAAAGCAAAATTGGTTAATGCCAGGTCACCCTGCCACACTCCTAATGGAGCCTTTATCACATCACACTGTAGTTAATGGCTTACCAACCACCTGAGTGGGTTTGTGCACCTTCAGAATGGGAACTTTCTCTCATTTATCTTTGGGATCTCTGGACCTTTACCAAGAGCCCGTACATAATGAGGGTACCCAAACAAGTGAATCAATAGATGACAAACAACGTCAGCAATGAGCTTATAGACTAATAGCTCTGTGAGAGTTTTCTCAAAGGACCTTTAAGTTCCCATCAAAATTTCCCTAGCATCTGTCTTTGAAACAAGAGCTTGGGTGTAAATGGTTTCTTGTAAGGTAATCCCAGTAAGTGTTGATAATGGAATGAGGAGGCAAGACAGGGAAGAGAAAAGAAGTTAATGGAAGATGTAATAATGGGCAGTTATGAATAACTGAGGCTCATTTCCACTGGGGACAGTAAGAGGCTGTAGAGAACATGCCTCAGAATTGTCCCACCCTCTGGGTGAGGAAGCTGGGGGTGGTCATTCACCAACTCCTTTCTTTATTGGTCGAGTGCTGCTCCCAGAGGTGTTAATTCCCTAGGTATTAATTTCAGCCCTGTGCCTGTAGACTGGGCACAGCTCTGTGGCCAGAAAAAGCTTCTGGCAAAATGAGAGGTGCTTGAAATAGGCAGCAAGGAGGATAGGTGCCCTAGGATAATGAGTGGGGATGAGGTGATGGGCAGGGCACTGACAGTATCTGCCAAGGTTGGTTTTTTCTCCAGACTGGATGGGGAGGGCCTCAAGGGTACATACCCAGTCATATTCGTAATTGTATCCCTGGGGCTTGGACAATGCCCAAAACATACTGCTAATTGTGAAGGATCAAATAAATTAATACCAGTTAGTACTATTTAACTTTACAGGAGAAGGGATTTAGTCTGTTTTGTTCGCTGATTTACTTTCAGTCTGTAGAACTGTAGTATCTGGCACATAGTAGATGCTTAATTCTTATGTGTTGAATGAATGTTTAGGATACCTAGAAGAAATTATTTTCAAGTATTTTAAGGGCATTTCATAAAAGCTATTGATATGTTAATTACAGCATTAAAAATCCTTTTATCTAAAATAGGGATTAGTCATTAAACTTTTTTCTACACAGGGATAGATAATAGATATTTTCAGTTTTGTGGGCCAAATGGTTTCTGTTACAAATACCACTCCACCATCATAGCACTAAATCAGCTGTAGACAATACACAAATGAATGAGCATGGCTGTGTTTCAATAAAACTTTGTTTACTAAAACAAATGATACAGAGAAGACACGTAGTGGCTGTACAGCATCTTACTATGCTGATGGACAGTGACTGCAATGGGGTGTGTGGGGAGACTTGATAATATGGGTGAATGTTGCAAAAACTTTCATAAGATTGTGTATCAATGATACCTTAATAAAAAAACAGCAAAACAAACAAACAAACAAACAAGAGGTAGACCATATTTGGCCTGCAGGCTATACTTTGCAGACCCTGCTCTAACATATCTTTCCCAGAAGCCTAGGTCTTCAGCAACTCAATTACTGTATTACTCTGTGCTTTCAAGTAATATCACCATTCATTTTTTTATACTGATTGTCTTTCACTAAATTAAACTGGCTCTCCTCCCAATTGTGTGAATTAATTATGCTTTGTCAATATAGGAGCAGCTCATGGCCTGTCATCCATTCTCCAGATGCTTCTTTCTTACCATGAGCACCTGAAGCCCTCAGAACAGGAGCTGGTGTGGCAGAGTGTGGACTTCCTCATGGAGCAGGAACAGAACTGCAACTGGCCACCTGAGCTTGGTGAAGCCATCGAGAGAGAGAACGAGCTGGTGCACTGGTGCCACGGCGCCCCAGGTCTTCACACACACTATTATCTGAAAACATTCCTTGCACCAGGCTTAGCCTGAGAGAAGTACCTTTTCTGGGAAGTGAGGGTATTTCTTATCTTGTGTCATTACTACATGAAATTGAAATAAAAAAGTCCAAATGAAATTTTTCAAAGCCACAAATGTCTTGATCTTTAACAGATCTCCAGAAATGATCCCATATTTTTAAAGTTATATGATCTGTATCTATTTGTACATAAATTAAACAAGCACTGTCCAATAGAATATAATATGATCCACATATGGAACAGAATTTTAAAAATTTCTATTAAAAACCTAAAAAGAAACAGGTGAAATTAATTTAAATAATATATGTTAGATGACCCAATATACATAAAAGATTATTTTAACATGCAACCGATTTTAAAATTGAGCCATTCCACATTTTCCTCATATTAATTCTTTGAAATCCTGTACATATTTCAAACTTACATCCAATCTCAACTCAGAGTAGCCGCATTGCAAGTAATAAATAACTACACCGAACAGTGCACAGATCTGGAGCTTGGCATTTCAAAACCTGGTCCCTGGACTACTGGTATTTGCAACATGGGAGCTTATTAGAGATCCAGAATCTCAGGCCCCACCCCAGCCCATTGAATCAGAATCTGCATTTTAACAAGATTCCTAGGTGATTTGTATGCACGTTATGTTCGAGACACACTGTTCTATAACTCTTCTTCAGATGAGGTGTTGCATCATCACCTAATAAAAAGTCTAGAGGAATGAGAAGCCATCTGCAGTGAACTCTCTGGAATTGAGTCTAGAAATTTTCAGACCTCATCATTTCCTTTATTCTTTTCTTTCTAATCTCATTATACTGCTAATTAGACCTTCCGAGAAGGGGCAATTCAAAAGAAGTTAAATTCAAATAAATCAATTAATTTTGGTTGATTGGCCAGAGAGAGATTTAAAATACCAAACAACACAAAATTTTTGGATTAGGAGTGGATTTAATTTTCAAGGCTATGCTTTAATGCTGTGCCTTAAAATATATTTGATTGATATATATTTGTTACCTGATTTCTATTACTTCCTTATCTAATTAATGTTCTTTAATCCAACTGTAATTTCAGTTTTCCTTGTTACAGTTTGAGTTGACAAATAATATGTCTTAGTTCATTGGTCCTATTGTCTCTGACTGCCACATTTACCTAAGGAAGGGACTTCAGAGTCTCCTTTGTGTGCTTATACCAATGCCAGGGCATTGTGCATTATGTCCAGGCTAATTCCCATCAGTGACATTGTGAGACCATTTCTTCTTGCTTTGAAGTTTTTGGAGAAAAACAATAGTTATTTACCTTTCTGGAAATGTTACCCCTTCATGTTATGCTCAACACTCCCATTTCCCATTCCCTTTAATTATTATCAGTGATAGTCTCTGGATAAGTGCCAAGCACCCCAGGACCCTTGAATTTTGGAGATGTCCCAAGGTAAAATACAGAATATTTTGAAAGGACGCAATGTATTAGAAATGTCATATTAAGAATGGGAAGATACGCCATACACAAATATGAAACGCAAAAGAAACCTGGTACAGAGTAAAATTAATATAACCCCTGAGAAAGATGACATGGACCCCATGACTCTTTGTGAAAGGGAGTTAAAAATAAAAATCATTAACATGCTAATGGAGGTACCGAAAGATATTCAAGAACTCAGGAATGAATTCTGGATGGAGATCCAATCATTGAAGAGCACAATGGAGGGTATTAAAAGCAGATTGGATATGGTGGAGAAGATGATAAATAAAATAGAAACTAGAGAAGAGGAATACAAAGAAGCTGAGGCACAGAGAGAAAAAAGGATCTCTAAGAATGAAAGAATATTGAGAGAACTGTGTGACCAATCCAAACGGAACAATATTCGCATTATAGGGGTACCAGAAGAAGAAGAGAGAGAGAAAGGGATAGAAGGTGTCTTTGAGGAGGTAATTGCTAAAAACTTCCCCAATCTGGGGAAGGAGATAGTCTCTCAGGCAATGGAAATCCACAAATCTCCCAACACAAGGGACCCAAGGAAGACAACACCAAGACATATAGTAATTAAAATGGCAAAGATCAAGGATAAGGACAGACTGTTAAAAGCAGCCAGAGAGAGAAATAAGATCACATACAAAGGAAAGCCCATCAGGCTAACATCAGACTTCTCAGCAGAAACCTTACAGGCCAGAAGGGAGTGGCATGATGTATTTAATGCCATGAAGCAGAAGGGCCTGGAACCAAGATTACATTATTCGGCAAGATTATCATTTAAATTTGAAGGAGGGATTAAACAATTTCCAAATAAGCAAAAGCTGAGAGAATTTACCTCCCACAAACCATCTCTACAGTGTATTTTGGAGGGACTGCTACAGATGGAAGTGTTCCTAGGGTTGGATAGCTGTCACCAGAGGTAATAAAACCACAGTAAAGAAAGTAGAACAGCTAATTACTAAGCAAATGCAAAATTAAATTAACTATCCCCAAAGTCAATCAAGGGATAGACAAAGAGTATCTAATATATAAAGAATAGAGGAGGAAGAAAAAGGAGGAGAAAAAGAAAAGAACCCTTAGATTGTGTTTGTAATAGCATATTGAGTTAAGTTAGACTCTTAGATAGTAGGGAAGTTAACCTTGAACCTTTGGTAACCATGAATCTAAAGTCTGCAATGGCAATAAGTATATACCTATCGATAATCACCCTAAATGTAAATGGTCTGAATGCACCAATCAAAAGACATAGAGTCACTGAATGGATAAAAAAACAAGACCCATCTATATGCAGCCTACAAGAGACTCACTTTAAACCCAAAGACATACACAGACTAAAAGTGAAGGGATGGAAAAAGATATTTCATTCAACTAAGAGAGAGAAAAAAGCAGGTGTTGCAGTACTTGTATCAGACAAAATAGACTTCAAAACAAAGAAAGTCACAAGAGACAAAGAAGGACATTACATAATGATAATGGGGTCAATCCAACAAGAAGATATAACCATTATAAATATCTATGCTCCCAACACAGGAGCACCTACATATGTGAAACAAATACTAACTGAATTAAAAGGGGAAATAGAATGTAATGCATTCATTCTAGGAGACTTTAACACTCTACTCACTCCAAAGGACAGATCAACCAGACAGAAAATAAGTAAGGACACAGAGGCACTGAACAACACATTACAACAGATGGACCTAACAGACATCTACAGAACTCTACACCCAAAAGCAGCAAAATACACATTCTTCTCAAGTGCTCATGGAACATTTTCAAGAATAGATCATACACTACGCCACAAAAAGAGACAGTAAATTCAAAAAGATTGAAATTGTACCAACCAGTTTCTCAGACCACAAAGGTATGAAACTAGAAATAAATTATGCAAAGAAAATGAAAAATCCCACACACACATGGAGGCTTCACAACATGCTCCTAAATAACCTGATGGATCAATGTCCAAATAAAAACAGAGATCAAGCAATACATGGAGACAAATGACAGCAATAATTCAACACTGCAAAATCTGTGGGACACAGCCAAGGCCATGCTAAGAGGAAAGTACATTGCAATACAGGCCTACCTCAGGAAAGAAGAACAATTCCATATAAGCAGTCTAAACTCACAATTAATGAAACTAGAAAAAGAAGAACAAATGAGGACCAAAGTCAGTAGAAGGAGGGACATCATAAAGATTAGAGCAGAAATAAATAAAATTGAGAAGAATAAAACAATAGAAAGAATCAATGAAAGCAAGAGCTGGTTCTTCGAGAAAATAAACAAAATAGATAAACCCCTAGCCAGACTTATCAAGAAAAAAAGAGTCTACACACATAAACAGAATCAGAAATCAGAAAGGAAAAATCACTACGGACACCACCAAAATACAAAGAATTATTACAGAATACTATGAAAAATTATATGCTAACAAACTGGATAAACTAGAAGAAGTGGACAACTTTCTAGAAAAATACAACCTTCCAAGGCTGACCAAGGAAGAAACAGAAAATCTGAATAGACCAATTATCAGCAATGAAATTGAAGTGGTAATCAAAAAACTACCTAAGAACAAAACTCCTGGACCAGATGGCTTCACCGCTGAATTTTATCAAACATTTAGTGAGGACATAATACCCATCCCCCTTAAAGTTTTCCAAAGAGTAGAAGAAGAGGGAATACTTCCAAACTCTTTCTATGGGGCCAGCATCACTCTAATACCAAAACCAGGCAAAGACACCACAAAAAAAAGAAAATTACAGACCAATATCCCTGATGAACATAGATGCAAAAATACTCAACAAAATATTAGCAAACTGAATTCAAAAGTACATCAAAAAGATCATCCATCATGATCAAGTAGGATCTATTCCAGGGATGCAAGGATGGTACAACATTTGAAAATCCATCTACATCATCCACCACATCAACAAAAAAGAAGGACAAAAACCGCATGATCATCTCCATAGATGCTGAAAAAGCATTTGACAAAATTCAACATCCATTCATGATAAAAACTCTCCACAAAATCGGTATAGAGGGCAAGTACCTCAACATAATAAAGGCCATATATGACAAACCCACAGTCAACATCATATTTAACAGCGAGAATCTGAAAGCCTTTCCTCTAAGATCGGGAAAAAGACAGGGATGCCCACTCTCCCCACTGTTATTCAACATAATACTGGAGGTCCTAGCCATGGCAATCAGACAACACAAAGAAATACAAGGTATCCAAATTGGTAAGGAAGAAGTTAAATAGTCCCTGTTTGCAGATGACATGATATTGTACATAAAAAACCCTAAATAATCCACTCCAAAACTACTAGATCTAATATATGAATTCAGCAAAGTTGCAGGATACAAAATTAATACACAGAAATCTGTGGCATTCCTATATACTAACAATGAACTAGCAGAGAGAGAAATCAGGAAAACAATTCCATTCACAGTTGCATCAAAAAGAATAAAATACCTAGGAATAAACCTAACC